ATGAAGTTCTTCCCTGTGCTTATAAGTGCAAGTGTCTCTCCTACTATGTCCTGCAGTAGTTTCAGAGATTCAGGTTTAATGTTAAGGTCTTTAATCCATTTTGAGTTGATGTTAGTGCATGGTGACAGGCTGGGGTCCACTTTTAATATTCTTCACGTGGCTGCCCCGTTTTTCCAGCACTAGTAGTAGAAGAGGCTGTGATTCTTCCACTGTACATCTTTGGCACCTTTGTCAAATATCAGCTGACTGTAGGCATGTAGTTTTATTTCTGCATCTTCTATTCCATTCCATTGGCCTTTGGGTCAGTTTTCGCGCCAGTACCAGGCTGTCTTTGTTATTATGGCTCTATAGTAGAGTTTGAAGTCTGGCATTGAGATCCCTCCCATGTTGTCTTTTTTGCCTAGAATTGTTTTGGCTATTCTACGTCTTTTGTTGTTTCATATGAATTTTTGGACTGTTTTCTGTAATTCAGTATTGTAAATCGTTAGGATTTTGTATTTGCTTAAGTTCCTTGGATGAACTGATGGTGGTCTATTTTGGATAAAGTTTCATAAGCAGCTGAGAAGAACATGTACTGTTTCATTTGAGGGTGAAATACTTGGTAGATGTCAGTTAGTTCTGCTTGAAATATGGCCTCATTTAATTGGGTAGCTTCTTTGCCAATCCTCTGGTTGATAGACCTGCCATTTGGTGAGAGTGGGGTATTAAAGTCTCATAGTATTATCTTATTTGGATCTATTTTATTCTGTAAGTTTGAGTTTTTGCTTAATATATTTGAGCGTTCCAATGTTTGGGAAGTATAGGCTGATAATGGTAATATACTTTCCTGGATTGTTCCCTGTATTAATATGTAGTGTCCTTCCTTGTCTTTTTTGTATTGATTTTAATGAAAAGTTTATTTTGTCAGATATCAGGATAACTACTCCTGATTTCTTACTGAGGGCATTTGCTTGGTAGATCTTTCTCCAACCCTTCACTCTGAGTTTGTTTGTATGTTTGGTGAGAGGTGGGTCTCCTGAAGTCAACAGATGGATGGGTTGTGTTTTCTGATCCAATCTGCAGTTCTTTTTCTTTTGATTGCTGAATTGAGTCCGTTAATATTTATGATTATTATAGAGAGATGCATTGCACTTCCTGTCATTTCCTGTTTTCCTAAGTTTTTCTTCTTTCCTTTCCTCCTGTGCTTACTAAGATAGATTTCTAGTGATACCTTTCTGATGAGGATCGCAGTTCCTGATCTTTTCTTCAGCTTGTGTTCCCCTTCTTAGTATTCTTTGCAATGCTGGTTTATTGTTTATTGTTCATTTAATTTTTCTTTCCTATTAAAAATTTTAGTTTCTCCATCGAATGTGAATGCTAGCTTTGCTGGGTATATAAGTCTGGGCTGGCAGTTATTGGTTCTCAGGTCTTGAACCTTACATTCCCAGGCCTTTCTTGCATTCAGTGTCTTTGTGGAGAGATCTGCACTCTGCTGCGAGGACAGTAAAAGTTGGGGACGGGGACTTCAGCTTTTCAGTACTGAAATTCTTTCCTTTCTTTCTCTTTTGTTTTTTTCCACCTCCTGTTTTTCTCTGGGTGTTCGTGCTTCTTTTGTTTTGGTTGCTTGGGGAAATTAAGCATTGGAAATCAACCTCTCTTTTTGGTTGGAGAGAGCTGTGTATTTCCCTACTGTCCCATTGCCACCTCGTCTCCCCTCCCCAGCCTTGGTTCTTTACACCTTGGATGTGTCTAAAGACAGAAGCAGCTCTATCCAGTAATTACAGATGTATTTGATGAGTGAAGAGTCATGGAAATATCACCTCTTAATCGTAAATACTGACATAATGGTTTTGTCTAGCCAGATGTTAGGACAGCACAGTAAAAATTATTTCACCACTTGTGTGAATGCCAAAGTTCACCATGTTTTATATGCTCTTCCTTGTGTTTGATTACCAAAATGGGTAACCAAAACATTTTTTTTCTACCTATACAGTACTGGCTGTTTCCTGTTGAGGTCTTCACCAAACTACAATACATGTGTTATTCTAAACTATTTCTGAGTACTACAAAGGGACTATCACAATGATATTAAAGGTCAAGGCCTCGGTTATAAAAACAGCATCAATGATATTATTAGGAGATTCTATTTTGCCTAGCTATGTTCATTGTGCTCTCTGTTGCTCTTTTTATTTCATATGCTTCATCTTTCTGTATTTCACATGGAATTTACATCAGGGCCACCTAGAGAAATGAAAGTGACCCATATAAATATGGATTTTTTTTGGGGGGTGCTGTTTTTGATAGTTGAAGTCAGGATATGGGTGTTGTTTCTGAGCATTGTTTTTGTGTAAACCTAGTGCTTTACCATTTGAACCACAGATATACTCTGGCTTTTGTTGGTTCATTGCAGATAAAAGACTCATGAACTTTCCTTCCCCAGGCTGGCTTGGAACCCTGATACTCTCATGTCAGCTCTCTGAGGAGTGAAGTTTCCAGGCCTGAGGCATGGGTGCTCAGCAGAGTGAGCGATTTTAATGTATCTCATAAGTGTATAGAAACACACTGTGATAGCTTTCTATGCAATGGGCTTGCTGCTTATGGACATAAGGCATGAGACTAGGACAATTCTGGTAGGTTGTCCCCTTTGACAAGGTAAATATCCATTTCATTCCACTGAGAGCACAGGAACACGTGCATTGTACCTTAACCTCTTTCCTCAGAAATGACTTAAGCTTATTTCCTATACTATTGGAGTAGGATCAATATATAAGGGAAACTAGCTATTTATTATTAGCATAAATGGTAAGTTTATACTTAATAAAGGGGAAACAGTTATTGGATTTGAAGTTTCCTTGTTCCTATCTCTCTAGTGGGCAACTGATCAGAGTCTTCAAAAGTTTAATTTAGATATTTGACATGGTAGTCTAACACTCATTTGTTTATTATAGGTAGGCTGTTTTGATTCTCATTAAAGTGTTATTGTAGCAAAATCCATCAATGTCCCTGTGCTATATGATACTTGCTCAACAATGGTGGTTGTTACATAAGCACCTATACAGAACAGCGAGCACTCTCTTCTTTGAGTCCTTGTAAGTGGGAATAATCTATTTGGCTTCCAGACATTTTTGTCTTTGTGCAGATGCTTTCCTGTTTTCCAGCAGTGTGCCAGAAGAATTAGAGACAGCGCTATGTGTGTCTCTGTCATGCATGCGTGGGTGATGTCACTCCAATGAGCCACAGCTACAACATTGAATGACGTCAAGATTTCTGGACTCAGCGACATGATCTTGCTTGTCATTTGGACTCCTCCTGACTCTACAATGCAGTGGTGGCCTTACAATATTCCTACTTCAAGCTCCTCAACACTTCTGATTTCTTAAGGGACTCTTCTAAATCATTCTTGTTCTCATAGAATCATAAAAAACATTGAGAAATATGGAGTCTGAGCCTATCTAAATGTTTTTCCTCTCTTTGGGGAGCTTTGTCTCTTCTTATAAATCATTCCATTCCTCCTTCCATTAATACTGAGGATTCTTAGGGACTGGGATGACAAGGCTCTGCTTGGCCATTTGTGCACTCTGTATCTTTGACTTTCAATGATAAATAATGATCAATAACTATTGCTACAGCTTCTCATTTCGACAGATCTAGTTATTTTGGTGCCCTTGCATTTCTTCCAGAAAAAAATGCTAGATTCCTGTGGGAAACTGGAGCAGATTAATATTCTGCTCTACAACTCTTAAGGAAGGAAGCGTGAGAATGAGAGATTTTCTAAAAAAAAAAAACTACACTCAATAATATAGAAAATAGAAAATGTGTAAACTGCACAGTGTTTTGTACATCTCATTGTTACAATGGTCAACCTCTCTACCTATTACAGCATTTTCTTTTTCCCCTTTCCCTCCCAAAAATTAGAGAACTGTATATAGAAAATACAGAGTACCAGAATCAAATACAGTGAAAACAAGGGTTATACCGTGGAGGAAGAACATACAAAGAAAAAAAATCATATAGAACTTTACAACTTCAGCATCTTAAGGGTAAGTAATTGTGGAGGTTGGAGAGAAGGGATTGTAGGGGGAAAACAAAGGAAGAAGTAACAATGCTTGATACAAAATGTACTCATTACCATGTTCATGTACCTGGAACCCCTCCATACAGTATTTTTACAATAAAAAACATACAAAAAAAGAGAAACACAATAAAGAAAATCTGTGAAAAGAAATACAAAACCAGATCAGAGAATGGACTTGAGGTACCATAATGCAATCACGGAAACTTTCTACAACATAATGTTCATATACTAGTAGCCTTAGCAATATAGTGATGTACAAGCAGTAATATAGCATAGATATAAAGAGTAATTGAAACAGGAAAGAGAAAGGAAGAAGCACAGTACATAATATACTCATAAGGAAGAATGACAGCATAAAGGGCAGATTGCACTGGAAGAAGCATAATATATCCAAGTTAGAATGCAATTTAGGAGGACTTGTTGGGAATTTGCTATGACTCTAACATAAGCAGAGGAATGAATTAGAGTCAATACTTTGTTCAAACAATTCCTCAAATTAAACTAAGTTGTGATTGCCAAATTGGTACAGATTTCTCTCAAAGGCTCTATGCATTCTAAACAACACATGTTCAACTTAATTTGTATATCTTCTAGAACGTGATCTCTACATGAATCTGGACAGAGAATTTCTCTGAGGTCTTATCAAGATGATGTAGCACTTAGGGACAAAGATGCAGCCGAGGAGGCCTCCACTGTAGGCCAAGACAGAGAAGAACTCCACAGCCATCATGACTTTACCCTTGGCACTGTGGAGGACAGGCAGGAAGGTGAGCCACACACTGCAGAACAACAGCATGCTGAAAGTCAGAAACTTGGCCTCGTTGAAGGTGTCAGGGATGTTCCTGGCCAGGAAAGATACTGTGAAGCTGGCTAAGGCCAGGGCACCCACGTATCCCAAGACACAGTAGAAGGCACTGAAGGAGCCCATGTTGCATAGGATGATGATATGTCCATGTTCAGAGTGTGCATCTATGTCCACAAAGGGAGGAGAGGTTCCCAGTCAGAGGCCATAGAGAGTCACCTGGATGAGGGTGCAGATGGGGATGATGAGGTTAGGAGCCCAGGACACAAGCCACTGTCTCATGCATCTCCCTGGAACAGTGAGTGTGAAGGCCAGAACCACAGAGATGATCTTGTCCAGGACAGTAGAGACAGCCATGGTGAAGACCACTCTGAATATTTTGTGCTGGTGGAAGCAGGTGGCTGTGTGGGGATGGCCAAGGAAGAGCAAGGAGTAGAGGAAGCAGCAGATGAGGGAGATGAGCAGAATGTAGCTGAGGGCCCGGTTTTTGGCCTTGACAATAGGGGTGTCTTTGTGCTTGAGAAACACCCCCAAGAAGAACAGCTGTGAGTGCAGTGCAGCAGAGAGCCAAGCAGGACAGAAACCCGCCCAAGGGGTCTTCATAAGCTAGGAAGCTCTTAGTTTTTACCAGACGTTGGTTTCTCTCAGTGTTGGCAAACTGATATTCTGCACACCTCACACAGTGCTCCATGTCTGGTGAGGAGTGAGAATCATTCTTAGTCTGTGTTCAGAATTTCTCTTTCCTCTCATCTCTCTCCAATTAAGCAGCTCCTTTTCCCTGACACACCAGTTGACTTTTATGTGGTGATTGCCGGGTTTTCCCCCCCTTTATTCGTGGGAATTTGTTCCCAACATGAATGACCTTTCCATGCACCAACAGAGCTTTCAGTAAGTGATTTCTTTAGTTTTCTTAAAATTTGCATTTTCTGTTTGGTTATCAGACTGGTTGGGGGAAGTTTGGTTGCATCCACTAATATTCTCTGGATCTTCATTGTCCTCACCACAGCAGCTCTACTTTATTTCATGTTTTCTTGATGAATATTTTTCTTCCTTCCAAAGAGCAGAAAGGTTTCTGCCTGTCTTCAATTCTGCTCCCCTTTTCCAGGGCTGCCCCAACAACCCCACCATCACTGGGACTCCTCCAGTCATCACTGTTCCTCAGGGTCAATTGGGTGACCAAGAGTCCACACGAAGACACTAAAAGGCAATGTCTCCATCCGTAGGCAAAGGCCAAGGAACTTTGAATCAATTCTCTTTTTTGTACTTTTCAAAACAGGTCCAATGTTTGGACCTCCTTCAGGGCAACATTTCTTAGGATAGACATGCAGTTTCTGCTTCTGGGGTTATTTCATGTCAGTAAAGCTCTGGAAATGGTGAGGTGCTGGTCAGATCAGGAATAAGAGATCCATGACGTTTGATTTTTTTTTCCCTTTAACTAATGTAAGTAAGCCTCTGCCCTGCTGTCGTTATCTCAGCCTGTATCCTATATCATTTCCAGAAGTTTGGTTTCTATACTATGTTCTCTGCCATATTTTCAGGCTTATCTATTTTTCCCCTACTCATGCTTTCTTTTTCATTTTTAATATTTTTGTTGTAAGAATACTGTACAGAAGGGTTACAGTTACATGAGTAAGGTAATAAGTACATTATCTATCGAGCATTGTTGCCTCTTCTTTGTTTTTCCCCTATCATCTCTTCCTTAGCCACCTCCCCAAGTAAGTACTGCCTGCCTTTCCCCTACCCACCCCGCCCTGAAGTTGTAAAGTTTATTTTCAACATAGTGTCCTGTGCGTCTTATTGTTACAATGGCTGGACCTATATCCCTATTTAAGCATTTTGCTTTCTTCCCTACCTTCCCCAAATTAGAAATATATATATATACAAGATGGAGGACAGTGACATTAAATACAGTGAAAACAGGGGGTATACTGTGGTAGAGGAACATACCAAAGAAACAAAAAATCACTTAGTACATTATAAATATTAAAAACAATAGCAAGAAAGAAAAGACTATTTGTGCACTTTCTTGGGGTTCATTTCCCTTAACATCATCTTACATGATCATATATATACACAGCTTTTGACCTTTCTGCTTGCCCTAGACTTATACTAGTTATTTTAAATAAGGGAAACCATGGGACCTATGTTTCTTTGGGCCTATCTTGCTTCACTTAATGTAATTTTTTCCAAGTCTTTCCATTTTCTAACAAATGGGGTGATGCCATTCTTTCTGACGGAGGCATACAATTAAATTGTTTGTTTGTTTGTGTGTGTGTGTGTGTGTGTGTGTGTGTGTGTGTGTCTATCACATTTTCTTGATTCATTCATTTACTGAGGGGTAACTGGGTTGGTTCCATATCTTTGCTATGATAAATAATGCAATAATTCTGTGATAAACATCATTGTTCTGGTAGCTTTAGTAAGGTCTTGTTTGTGATCATTCAGGTAGATGCCCAAAAGTGGGATTGCTGGTTCATGGGGAGTTCTATGTAGAGTCTTTTGAGGAACCTCCATACTACTTTCCAAAGTGGTTGAACAAGTTTACACTCCCACCAACAATACAGTAAGGTTCCCTTTTGGCCACATCCCCTCCAGCATCTGTTGATATTAGATTTCTTGATTATAGACATTCTAACTGGGGTGAGGTGGAATCTCAATGTTGTTCTGATTTGCAATACTTTTGTAGCTAGAGAAATTGAGCATATCTTCGTATGTCTATTGTCCATTCTTATTTCCTCTTTATAGAAGTTTCTCTATGTCTTTAGCCCACTTATTTCCCATGCATTTTTTTGAGGATTTGTTGTTGGGGGATTTAATTTTTTGAGTACTAAGTATATTTTAGATATGAGACCCTTGTCTGTTGTATGGCTAGTGAGGATCTTCTCCCAATCTGTGCGCTTTTTCTATTGATCTTGCTGTTTATGTCCTTTGGTATGCAGAAGCTCTGCAGTTTCATGCAATCCCATTTTGTCCAATCTTTCTTTGATTTTTTGAGTTTCTGGGTCTCTATTAAGAAAATTTTGGCCTATGCCAAGATCATCTAGGGTTTCTCCTATTCCTTCCTATACTGTGTTCAGGGTGTAGGCTTTGATTCTGAGGTCTTTGATACATTTGGAGTTGATTTTGTTGCAAGGTGATATATAAGCATCTAGCTTAGTTTTCTAGGGGTGGTTAAGCAATTTTTCCAGGACCATTTACTGCTGAGGCTTTCTTTCTTCCATGCTATTTTTTTAGCTCCCTTGTCAAAAATTAGATGACTATAGGTCTGTGCGTTCATTTCTCTGTCTTCAGTTCTATTCCATTGGTCCTAAGGTATGATCTTGTGCCAATACTAAGCTGCTTTGATTACTATGGCTTTGCAGTTAGGTTTTTTGTTATTGATATTTCTCCAGCACTGAAAGGATCGTTTTTGCTATTTAAGGTCTTTTATTGTTCCATATGATTTTTTTGGATTGTTTCTTCTAGTTCATTGAAAAATGAGGTTGGAATATTGATAGGTATTACATTGAATTTGTTGATAGCCTTTGGAAGTATTGCCATTTTCACAATGTTATTCTCCCAATCCAGGAGATTGGGAGGTTTCTTCACTTCCTAAGTCTGCTTTAATTTCCATTTTAAGGTTTTTAAATTTTTCACCATAGAGGTGTTTCACTTGTTTAGTTAACTCCTATGTATTTTATTTTTTGTGTGGCTATTACAAAAGGAATGATTGCAGCCATGCTCTTTTCATACAGAAGAGCATACAGAAAGCCAATGAATTTCGAGAGTTAATTTTATACCTGATACTTTGCCAAAGTTTCAAATCAGCTGAAGCAATTTGGGAGTGGAGTCGATGGGATTCTTTTTTTATTTTTTGGTTGGTCATGGGGCTTGAACTCTGGGCCTGGGTGCTGTTCCTGAGCTCTTCAGCTCAAGGCAAGCCCTCTACCACTTGAGCCACAATGCCACTTTCAGTTTTCTAGTGATTTATTGGAGATAAGAGTCTCAGGGACTTTTCCTGCCCAGGCTGGCTTTGAATTGCTATCCTCAGACCTCAGCCTCCTGAGTAGCTGGAATTACAGGTGTGAACCACCAGCGCCTGGCTTCCATGGGATTCTTTAAATACAAGATCATGCCATCTGCAAAGAGGGGAGTTTTACTTCATCTTTCTCTATTTGGATCCCATTTATGTTTGCATCTTTTCTTATTGCTGTTGCTAGGCATTCTAATATGAAATTAAAGAGAAGTGGAGAGAGTGGACAGCCTGTGTCATTCCTGAGTTTAGACGAAATGGCTTTATCTTTTTGTCATTAAGTATAATGCTGGCTTGTAAGTTTGTCTAACACTGCCTTTATTATATTGAGGAATGTTCCATTGATTCCTAGTTTTTCTAGAGATTTCAACATAAATGGTGTTGAATCTTGTCAACTGATTTTTTTGCATCTATTAAGATAATCATTTGGTTCTTATCCTTACACTTGTTGATGTGATGAATTATATTAATTGATTTGCATATATGGAACCAGATTTGCATCCCTGAAATGAAGCCTGTTTGATCATGGTGTAAGATTGTTTTGATGAGTTGTTGAAGTGAGTTGGCCAAAATTTTCTTGAGAAGTTTTGCATCCATGTTCATCAGAGTAATGGATGTATAGTTCTCTTTTTCTCATGAGTGCCTGCCTGTTTTGGGGATGAGGGTTATGATGGCTTCATAGAAAGAGTTTAGTAGTATATTTTCACTTTCAATTTCATTGAAGAGTTGGAAGAGTATTAGTGTGAGATCTGCATTGAAGGCTGTTTAAAATTCCACTGTAAATCCATCTGGTCCTGGACTTTTCTGAGATGGGGGGTTTCTTATTGCTGTTTCTATATCAATGCTTGATATAGATCTGTTGAGTTGGTGTAATTCAACTTGGTTTAGATTCCACATGTCAATATTTGCTAACAAATCATCCATTTCCTCCAGATTCTCAAACTTATTCCTAGTCATAACTTTCAAAACTGGATTTGAAGTTTTTCATATGTTTTATACACATTTTGTTTCATGCATTTGAATGCAGGTGAACTCACTACTTTCAGATCTCCAGAAATCACTGTAAACTAGGAAGTCACAGATAAATCTTCTCAGACAGTTGTATGGAAACATTCTGTATGTGCTTTGTTTGAGAGAGGAATACTTTATGCCATGAAAGATTTGTGAGAGATACTGAAGCCAACTGAACATGGAGTGGAAGTGAGACAGATGGGGCTCATGTGTAAATCCAGAATTAGAAATGTACCTCTATGGGAGGTGAGAGATGTCAAAGATTTCTTCTGCATTTTCCACTCTCTAATTGAGCTCTCTCTGTGTGCACACACTCTCACACCCCTTTTCCCACATGCTCACACATGCTCTGGTATTCGGACTTGAACTCAAATTCTGATGGCTGTCACTTAGTATTGATTTCGGGCACTCTACTACTTGACCCACAGCTCTGCTACTAGCTTCTGAGTGAGATAACAATCTCAAAGACATTCCTACACAAAGCGACTTCAAAACATAATCCTCAGATCTCAGCCTCCTTAGTAGCCGTAATTAAATGCCTGAGCCACCAGTTCCCAATTAATATTTAGTATTCCTAACATTCTAGCTGTCAAGCCACAGAATTACATTGTACAAGAGCATATCAAAAACAATCTAGAATTGAGATTCTTTCTATGAGAATTTCCCCAAACTGATTATATTGAATCCTAGGAGAACTTATAGTTGTGGAACATTCTTGATTCATATTAGCATGTGATACCATCTGGCCTTTGAAATGTCTCAGCAGAATTAGACCAGTAGGCCTGGTCTGGCTTTGTGCCTATCTTTCAAGAAATTCCAGGCAGGCCTCAGTTTTCCTGAGTGTGTAGTGACTTCCACAATGTCACCACTAGAGGGAGCAAAGGCCTTGAGGGAAGTGAGCTGGTGAGGTGATAGACCTCTTCAGTAGTAGAGAAAACCAAAGGCAAGTTGGGTGACAAATACTCTGTGGTTTTAAAAACCTCAAAGAGACCCCAATGAGTGGTGGGTCCCAGCATGCCTCCTCCTGGGAACACGGAGACCCATATGTTTCATGCACAGGAATGACCATATGATGGGATTCTGTTTAGCAATTGCAAGATCTGTGTGCTGGAACAGGTCTTAGTCACAGCCATGGCCACTAGAACTCTATTACAACTGGAATACCAGCCAGCAGGGACACCAAAACAGCTGAAGATTAATGAGGTTTCCATCTAAAAGTAGGGACCCTTCACTTATGATCCTTGAATTTGATCACAGAAGAACAAATTCTAGACAAGTCACAATGGTAAGAAAATGTGGCAGAGCTTTACTGAGCAAAGATGCAAACAAGCAAGCAGGAAGAGAAACAGGAAACAGAAAGGCACAGACACACTGCAACTGAGGAGAGGCACATGGCTCTTGGGCTGCCAAGGGTATTCATATGAAGGCAGGAGGTCTGACTTCAAACTTACACAAACATAGCTGGCTCATCTTTGCTCTAATACTCCTGGTATTACACTTTCTGAGTTTCTGTATGTTTTGGACATTCTTTTCAGATAAGAAGGCATCCTTCCCTAAAAAAGATGATTACTCTTGCAGTGAGGAAGGCGTGCTGTTGTCTATGTTTTGGGTAGGACGTTGCTTATGTTTTGGGGGAGCATTTTTGGGGGAAGGTATCCTTGCTCCCAGACAACTGTTAATTCATATGATGAGAAATATATCCCTCAGTAAGAAATGTAACCTGTTGTCTCTCTCTGAAGCAAACTTAGTACTTCTGTGTTTCTACATCATATGTTTCAGAGTTGCCTTCACCAAGACTCATTTTTTCCCCTCAATTTATCCAACTTCATTTTCTGCTCAGTGACTTTGGTCCCTTAATCTTAAGGGATATAGGTGAATGAATGTGTCTCTATTTGCTGTGAGAATAACATACCTCATTTCTCCTTATCTATGCTACTCCATTTTCCTCTGAATGACTTAATTCCCTTAATATTAAGAGAAGTAGATAACAAGCTTTAAGCTTGAGTTTTTGAACTCCTGGCATGCATTAATCAGGCCTCATTTTCCCTAGTCTACCTTGCCACAGTACTACATCCTCAGTCCATTGCACCCAAGATCAGAACAGTGCTGGCTAAACAGTAAGATCCACCCAATTTGTGTGTAGTAGAAGTGTCCTCATGGGCCATGATGGCCACAATCATACACCATTAGTGATAGCTAGAATAGAACTGATTGTCTGGTAGAAGATGACTTTGCCAGGCACTGAGGTGATTACAGAGTTCTGCCAGAAGCTTGCATGGCTATGGAGTCATAGCACAGTTCTAGTGCTATCAATTGGCCCACACTAAGCTTTGGGACAATATCACCATCTTGCTTCCCTGTCCTACTCATGACAAGTGGGATGGAGAACTATGCTATGTCACATCAGCGTGGTAAGTTTTGTCAAGGCAGCCACAAGCTCTGCACCAGTAGATGACACCTGTAATCCCAGCTACTTAGAATGCTGACATCCAAGGATTGGGGATCAAAGCAAGCCTGGGCAGAAAATTCAATGAGACTTTTATCTCCACTAAAACATCAGAAAACTGGTGGTGGCACTATGGTCAATTAGTGGAGTACTAGCCTTGCCCTGAAGAATTCAGGGTCAGATCCAAGGCCTAGAGTTCAAGCCCCATATCCGACAAAAAAGGAAGCCATAAGGCCATTTTGGGGAAGACCACCATTCACTGAGGCTTAATATCCCATCCAGAAAGCCCTAACTGTCATGTGGATACAGTGAGGCCCACACTCCAGCTTGTGCTGCTGTAGACCAATGCACACTAGTTTCCTAGAGCAACCTAAGTTTCTGCCTGGTACCATCTTGAGCACTGTCCTTCTAGGGCAATGGTCCCTGAGATGATTCACTGAGCAACAAGACTGGGACTGACCAGATGACAACAGAGTCACATAGCAACAGTGGCTTCACAAGGCTAAACAGGAAGACAGGTGTCCGCCTACTCCATCCATGGTGGAAACTGATGCAAATGGCATTTGTTTCTGCCTCAGGGACCTTCTAACACCTCTTGAAAGCTTCTAATGGAAGCTGTGGTGATAGCATGCAAACAGTGCCTCTAATTTATACTGGATTTTTGGTCCAACCATGACATGCCTGACACAGAGTTCTAAACAAAACCAGACCCACTATTCTTGCCCTGCTCATTAGGAGGCTGTATTCCATACATGGTGTTGTTCACAAGATTGAGGAGGAAGGTTTTGGCAGTGTCTTTCTTCTCTGTCCTAAAACAGTTCCAGAGGCACAATCTAAATGTCTGTACCGAAGAGTAGAGACTATAAGCACTTCCCCAGCCCTGGTCTCTGTATATAGGGATGGTGCTGAGATTTAACTAATTCGCTTCCTCCCTGCAATGTAAGAGGGTTTCTGCCCATAATGAGCTACTATGGCTAGTGATGGGGAGGAACATGGAGATGGCTTCTTTTACCTATTCTCACACTACATTTTCTGTAGTTTTGTTATACTAGAGGAGTACTCTATGTCTGAGCCATCATCCCAGCCCTTCTTTGTTTTCTTTACATGCCTCACAAGGCAAGATTTACTTCTTTGCAGAAGGGTGCCCCATCAGCAAGAGTGTGGCAAGCAACCACAGAGACAAGGCAGCCTGTTTTCCTTTTTACTCCTAGCACAGCAGACCCTGCCTCTCTGCTCATATTGATTGTACTCAGGTGGACAATCAGCTCCCAATTTCAATTTTATTTCTTAAGAGTTTCTTCATATGCACAGCTAATTCAAAGTAGTTAATGGCTTGATATGTTACCTGGGCTTGCTCCAATGTCCCACACAACATTGTTTTTCACAAATCCATACGTGGCAGAGTGGAAAAGCCAGCTTGCTTATTCCCCCTTTCCCAACCTCTCTGCAATCTCAGAACAATCATCTTGAGTATGCTGATCAAAGCCGGTTCAGGAGCTCTTCAAATTGAAAGAACTTTTCTAAGACTCCAAATTATAATGTCATCTTGTTGGAAGATAGGATCTACACATACTACTGTGTATAGAGATAAGCATTTGATTCAACAAAGTCATGAGATTTGCAGTTAATCATTTGTAATTCACGTATACCTACCCAAATATTTCTGACCTTTTTGCAGGACCAACTTAAAGAAATACCAATTGCTTCTCACCCTGGTGCTTGCTGTGGAGGAGATCAACAAGAATCATCATCTGCTTCCCAACATGACTCTGGGGTTTGAGATCTATAGTGAACATTGCAAAGATACTGATATGTTAGAGGATCCTCTCATCTGGCTGTCTGGGAAGAATAAAAACAACCCTAATTATACCTGCAGAAGAGACAGCAAAGCTTTAGCAGCATTCACAGGAACCTCAAGCACATCTGTCGCAATTGGGACACTACTAGACCTCTACAAACTTCCACAGGTGAGGCTGGGAGAGGTGGGCAGATGTGAAGCCATGTCCACATGGACTCTGTTCTCCACAGGCTGAAAAAGAGGTGTTAGCACAAACCCTTCCAAATGCATGCTATTACAGGGAAAGGACTCCAAAAGTGGGTGGGACCTACACATTCTCTTTGCTGTAAAAATAAGTAAATAAAAGGAGAGATTGTAAGAGAGCAAAGGATAGCCCAAAGCTCTCAGCCTTATCCATATATGTCTACAATACCTTGGAACATGGGAGATAACTTTGCAAGTGGGATAAGCAAAATTTCTCTACCACCACTGCCAGTTGTTGTTTAGACTAATACTTGCCTATGACCATCATCTTCCTGCTGTTGTATTCATTTTTTTCCTGTAGTTCACCTTTGGGTCTTTTGATCCTCTCCTGAGTGACCATGGAAAGTTCAGTAGTGTCTATCAGATGGCTGCAAAGGACTCAGGTCTAGCTCTGGCCATGGTCTCCTTGATGCTTTATTTTAGATGGACCTGGGTGGGACTGTTTATCTCAGAAGACGACTACAGTGTGTTGTTCCTCTCAGAATTGAGAGAAGAGATGGGCAAGAATGGTATCTGTTTGGCCTTTGAGAACATGATAACTTACAAAGCCATTTCAGATATCTCAAATGATCTATCAATGCATCTCCAGCTAATGGAATCATCAACCAATGTGATTATCATTTATGGGGACAGTAAATTTCTATTAAGCTTTATTATTAAATTTGGGCACTTTTTAATTACAGGGAAAGTCTGGGTCATGAACTCACCCTATGAGGACGTGACCATTGGTAAAAGATATTTTCTGATCAACTCCTTCCATGCACCTCTCATCTTCTCTCACCATCTTAGAAACACTTCTGGGTTCACCAATTTTATTCTGACAGATACATTGTCCAAGAACTCAGGAGTGGATTCCCTTTCCAGGGCATGGATTCAGTCTGTTTATTGCCTTCTGATTAAGTCTGACTGCAGAGACTTGGGACACTGTTCATACAATGCCACACTGGATTGGTTGCTTAGGCACATTTTTGACATGACCATGTCAGACGAGAGTTACAACATCTACAATGCTGTGTATGCTTTGGCACATGCCCTCCACCAGAGGTTTCTTCATCACACAGAAGAACCACAACGGGACAATATGCAACCAAGAGCATTTCTCTCTTCACAGGTAATGGCTTTGCTTTTGGGTGACCTACTCTAGGCATGCAGACTTTCTATAGAAGCTTTCATAGCAGATAGAACTAGGTGAACTGGCTCCATTTTGGATAGTACAAGAGACAGTGGGCCTGTCATCCTGTCCATGAAATGACTGTAGAGCTATGAAGACAATGTTCTTGAAGAAAGCTGCATCCCTGACAAGGAAGTGCTGTGTCTTCTGTCCCCATCTTCACTATGTGTGGAAAAAGCCATACCTTCTTCAATAGCATATATCCAAATTCTCCTTGTACCTTTTTAAAATGACAGATCAATTGTGATTAGTTCTTGAAAACCTACGATTGTCTGGACATAAGTGGCTCACACCTGTGGCTAACTCCTGACTACAATTAACCCCCAAAAAGCAAGAGGTGGAGCTGTGGCTCAATGGATAGAATGCTTACTTTGAAAAGAAAAAAAAAAACCTCAAGTTGAGGACCTAAGCCTGAGGTCGAGCCACAGGACAGGCACACACACACACACACACACACACACACACACACACACTCTGAACTAAGTCTTGCTTCATTTAATCTTTCGTAGTTATCATAAATATTCTATGATTCTACTTACATATTTTTCAGACTGACTCTCTTATCACAAACATAATATAAATGATTGGAATGCACTTTAGAGAGGTGGTTGAGGTCTGTCACATGATAATTCATTATTTGGTTGGATGTGGCTAGAGTTTTACTCCCTTTAAATTGAGTTTCTGCATCCCATCCTGGATAACCAGGTTTTAGAACTTGGTAACACTTTCTTCTGCTGTGAGCCTGCATTGATACAGTTGGTTGGATTTGTTTGGTGTGTGTGAATCAACTGGTGGGAATGAAGACTAATCTGTGTGCTTCCACTGTTCTGAGGTTCCATGATAAGTCCGGGAAGCACTTCATCATACTGTAATGTATCCATTTTAGCTGCATCCCTTTTTGAGGAAGATCCAATTTACCAATCCTGTTGGAGACCAAGTGGTTTTGAATGAGGAAAGGAAATTGGAGGCAGAGTATGACATTATAAGTGTTTGGAATTTTTCTGAAGGTCTGAGACAAAGGGTGAAAGTTGGCGAGTCTTCTCCATCTAGGCCACATGGGCAACTGACTTTGTTTGAAAATCTGATGGAGTGGCCCATAGGAATTACCAAGGTGGGTCATTTCTACTTTTTTACTCTTTCCTTTTTTTAAAAGGAAAGAACAACTATGAAGTAGTTGTTGAAAGAGCTTATATTTCTCTTAGTCAGGTCATGAGTACAATGCTTGTAGACAATGTCACCACATCCTTATTTCTCCCCCAGAGGTGGTTGTTTCTAACCATAATGTCATGTTATGATCCATGCATAAACAATGAGCTTTTCCTGTTTGAAATGTTGTTCACTAAAATTATGACTCAGTGGTATACATTTCACCACTTCTTGTTTCTGGAAATTTCTTACTAATAGATTCATGGAAGGCATAGGGGAATATTTTATTACCATTATGTTGTTATGTTGTCCTATGTTTGCATATTGAATATCATAAAAGGTGAATGACACCTGTGAATCATCATTCCAGCACTGTGACAAAATATCTGAGAGAACCAAATTAGAAGGCAGAAGAGCTTGCTTTGCTTCTGCCTGGAAATTTCAGACCATGGTTGGGTAGATGTTGCTTTTGAGTCTGTGCTAAGACAGGAGGCAATGAAAGGAGCATCTGCCAGTGTAGTTCACCTACCTCATAACAGCTGGGAAGCCAAGAGAGATGTGAATGACCCTGGGTACAGCAGCTCCTCCAAAGCAATTAGCCATGCTTTAGAGTGTAGGTTTGAAGTTTCCCTGAGTTATTTCCTCTCATGCTCTTATTCATCTGTTCACAGATGAATAAGAGAGAAAACACATCACCTGAATTCAAAAATGGGATGCAAGATTTAACTCCCAATTCCTAATTTCCTAGAATTAACATTCAGTTCTTAATGGCTCCATGACTTCCCAATAGCATGGAGACAGGGTGTCGAGGACCCACATTTTCTTCAGGTCATGTTGGATGAAACTATAAGAAAGCTCAATCAATTCACTGGCTGTATGTATATAAAGATTATGTGTTTTAATGAACTTATCCTCCAAATCACTGGAGTGTCTGGGATATCAGGAAAAATATGAATAGTCACTAACCTTCATCTGAATGTTCTCAGACTCCTCAGTCTGTCTGCACTGAGAGCTGTGGTCCTGGATTCAGGAAGATCTCTCTGGAGGGAAATGCTACCTGTTGCTTTGACTGCACTCCTTGCCCAGAGAATGAGATTTCTAATGTGACAGGTGAGTCTGGCAGTGATAGAGAAATTCCCATCCCTCCTTCCTAATCTTCACTCCATGTAAGCCAGTGGAGTGATCTACAGTAGAAAAGCAGAGAAACACATGCACCTTCATGCAGAGTTCCATGGCTACCAATAACCATGCTGCTCCTTAGAAGGAACAGCACACTGCCCCTCCATTATATCTCTGATTGTATTTTCTAATCTATTACAAGATTTATCTTGAGAATAAACCTGTTCCCCCCTCCTCATCCCATGTTTTTTTTTATTTAAAGAAAGTGTAAAAAAAAAGAAAACATCAAAGATCAAATGCTGACGTTTGAAATGATGTGCAAATCATTATGGAATTTTGGATCTAACATAGCCTTTCATTTCTGATTGACCTTTGCTGCTTTTTCTAGTTAAATTTTATTTTCTATTTATCATATACTAATAATACAAGGGGCTTTGTTATGATCACTTCATATCTGACACTGGCACTAGGCAGACTAGCAATCACTCAAATATAATTGATTCAGTAGTAGTTTACAATTTCCATTTCATTTCTCATCTCCCTCTCCCAGCTGATCTTTCCCAGAACCCCTTAAATCAGTGGAGGATCATTGTTCTTGACACAGATCAAACGCTCAGGAAGTTTGTATTTGTTGTAAGGAGTAGGCTGAGGTTTGGATTCGACCCTCTTGTTAAAAATGGATCGATTGGGCTGATTCTCTATTCTCCATAATTCCTTGAATGAGTAGCAATGAGTCAGAGTGGTATGACCTGCCAAGAATGCAACACATAATGCTAGGTATTTATATATTACACCTGTAATCCAAGCGACTCAGGCAGTTGAGATATTAGGATGGAGCTTAGATGCAATGATGGGCAGGAAACTCATTAAGATTCATTTCCTCAATTAAGCAACAAAAAAGGTGAA